GTAATGAAAAGATAAAGTGCTGGAGACACTCCGAGGTTCCTACCATTATTTCTAGAAAGGTTTTCTAATACAAGATCCTGGATGTGTTCCTTTGAGGCACATCACAATGTTCAGAGACAAAAGTGTGTGTGTCCTGGAGGTTGGTGGTTACAGAAGGAGAATCTGGAGTTACCCACAGATCTACACCCATCTACCCACATATAAATGTATGCAGTTTTTCCATTTCTACCATTGCTTTAAAAAGTGTAAAACTAGAAGGAAAAATTGGGAAACTTTACTAGAAATAAGGCATGAAAAAGAAATAATGGACATTTACAAGATGCTAGAGAAAGGAAATAGGTATATTTTTAAAACTAAAATGAGGTAATCTTTGGCTGTAGACCAGGAGGTTCAACAGTGATATAAAGGCAGCAGTTAAAAAAACAATGCATATAGGAAGGTAAAAGTGATAGTTTCTGTAATCTTGACAAAGCTTAAAAAGAAATGACTGAAAAGATAAGGATTATACAAGAGAAATTTTAATCTATTAGGAACAAAAGCAGTGTTCAAATGCAGTGGGGGCCTGCTGCAGACCATAGAGGTACTGGAGTCTGGTATTTCAGCTGGAAGCAAGTGGGATGATGTATTTGCCACTCTTAGCAACCAGGCAGAACAGTAACAGGACTGGAAACAAGCCCAGGTATTTCACCTACAACAGCCGCCCCGCTCACCCACTTCAGTGTGTGCTGGGTTCAGGCAGGTCAGTGGAGCAACAGAGGGCAAAGATGTTAACTCAGATAAAGGCCAGTTAATCTGAGAGAGGTAGGAATCAGAAAACAGCATCAGAAATCCATTAATAAAGAATTAAAGGCAAACATGCAATTAAACTCTATCAAAAATAGACCCTGTCATTCAACCAGGCTTAGTTAATTGTAAAGACACATCGCCTGGCATAGCACACTCTACAGTGTATGCAGTTATCTACAGGTAACTGTCTGCAACATAAAGCAAATGATCCACACATGGATGAAGACTGTCCTCTGACAGATCTGAACAGTTTGACCCTGTTCTTTGAACAGGGATGTTTCCTGTGAGATTCTGCTCAAATCACTGCTGGACCCTGTTTTATTCGATACTTGCATCAGTGATTGAGAAGCAAAGCTAAAGTCATTCCTGAAATGCTGGTAAGCAAAAGCATGGTGGAAAAAACACATTAAAACCTGTATTCCTCAGTAAGACAGGCCTGCCAGTCAAAGTGGGCCTTAATTTTGCATTTAGCTGCATTAACACAAGGAAGAAAGTATCATCCACACCTGCAGGAAAGGGAGTCTGTAATTCACCTACCCAGAAAAAGCTGAGGGGAGGTCTAAACCTTAGCTCATCTCTTGCCAAAAGGGTTAAGACAGTCTTTGAGGGTACAAAGAAAGAAGTAAGAGTGACAAAGCTGCTGTGCAGAGCAAAAGGGAGACAAATCTCAGTGTTGGTTCTGATGTTGTTTCCTAAATGTCACAAAATGTAAGGTCTGAAACACAAACATTACAGAAATCCTGGATAAATTTCTTTGTAGGGAGAGACTTGCAGCAGCCCTGTCTCTTCAGCTTATGCAGATCAACGGGCCCCTTCATCTCTGTGCAAACATGCTCACGGAGAGAAGGGTTTCATTTGGCAGGCAGAGTAGGAAGCAACAAAGGCTGGGAGCTGAGGACAGACAACTCAAAGCGGAAAAAAAGGCACGGGATTGTTACAATAAGGGTGAGTAAGTATTGGAACAGACTAGCAAGGAACTTGGTGGTGTAGGAGAACTTGTATTTAAAACATTATGTTTCATAACACATTTTTTTTCCTATTATAAGCCCGACATGTGTGACTCAAACACCCTGGCACTGCTGTGGAATTGTGGCCAATTACACCAGGAGGAAGTACCAGTTACCCTTCTGGTGGCAGCTGTGATGACTGGTGTAGACAGAATAAAAAAACCCTTAAAAAGCAAAGCAAATGCAATTGTTTGGGATTTGGACAACGCAAAAGGATTTCTTTCAGACAATTAATTGGAATTTTACCTAGAAAAAAACATGCTGTAATGGCAGATAAGGCATTACAGAGGTTCCTGGTTTAGCTGGAGAGCAGCACTTCGAGTAGGTCTGACATACAGATTTGATTCCTTGGTAACAGTGTGCCCAGTTTCCAGTGACACAAACCTGCCTCTTTTGCACCATGCAATTACATCAGACACAAGTGTGGAAAGCAAATCAGCTGCAATCCTTCAGCATCGCTTGTTCTTCATTTTAAAACTATAGGTACCCATCAGGCACCCAGCAGGGAAGCTGCACACTTACCTGATGGTGTGTTGTAATCACCTTGAAAGTTCTGTTGTGCTTTCATTTTCCAGAATAAGTGAACCAGCTCCCACTCAAGAAGGCACATCTGCAGCCCTCCAGCCCTTTAAAGACATGAAGCAGGAACAGAATGGAAGGAAGAAAATGTGTCACTGAACTCATCTGCAAGACAAGCAGCAGGTTCCTAAAAGCCGTTGCTTGTAACTGCACAACAGCCATACACAGGTAAATGATATATACACATGGTGTCTGCCTGTGTAAGGATGGTGATTATTTGGTTGTAACAAAGATACAGAGAAAATGTAAAGTGGTTTTACTTATGTATGTTCAAGGCTGTGTGCATATGTTGCAGCTGAGTGGAACCCAGGGCCCAGACCTCATCTGTTTCACCCTGAGTGATGCAGGACTAGTGCTGATGTTGGTAAATGAGAAAAAGCCGAGCTGTGCTCCTTTCCCCATGCTCCAGCCCCAGTGGAACATTTGCTGCTGCAGCCCACGAGTCAGTGCCTGTCTCCAAGGGCATGCAGACTCCCCTGCTTCCAAGCAACATGGAGCCTGCAGCAGCAGGAACCAACAGCTCTACCCACCCTCTGCTGAACAAGGAGAAATAGGAAAGCATGATTCAGCCATAACTGAGCACCTGGGCACAAGCCAAACTTAAGAGCTTCAGCCCAGTGCTGCTTCTGCCCAGGGCTCTGGCACAGCTTAGACACCTTTGGTCTGTAGTATTCCAGATTTCAGGAAACATTATTAACATTTATGCTAGTCCCAACACTCTGCCAACCTAATAAGCCTTCCCTAAATCCAGAGGGCTCAGATCACAAAGCAGAGTGGTTTTACAGCTAATGAGCCTACCCAGACCTGCGCAGCCTCTTGGGTGTGAGCACGCTCTTCTGCCAGCACATTTCCTGGTACCCACACTGCCTGGATACCAGAGCCTGGCACACCCATCTGCAGGGGGCAAACCCATCTCCAGCAGCACCCTGGCTGCTCTCAGGAGCAGAATCTTCCTTTAAAACCTCCCATCCAACCCCTGCCCATTTGCCCAAACTTCATCAGTAAAGGAAATTCAGCCTTGCACATCAGAAACTTTACTCCAGTAAAGCACGGCACAGTTACAGTTCAGCACATGGAAATCCTAGAGGCTGTTCACTGTTATTTACTTAAGTGACATTTTAATTATGCAGACGATGTTAGAGGCTGCATAGGCCTTGCTGTGAATTAGGGCTTCTCTCTTCTCTTGACAGTGACATTTTATTTCCCATAGACTTAATGCTCACTGCAGACTTGAGATTGCGAGCAGGTAACTACAAAGTCCAAATGAAGAATGCAGCAGGACAGAGTTAAACAACAATCAAAAAACCCTCCACAGCTGCAGAGACAGAAATAAAAATAAAGCACTGAGAACTCTTAGCTTGAGAGGCTGTTCCTTTCAGGCATATTACTGTAAAGACTGGAGTGCTACAATATCAGTCTTAGGAACACACACTGAGACTTCCTGAAACAAATTCAAGATGACAACCAGCAACCAACAGCCACCACTAATGATTTCATTAAATCATCTATTGAAATCTGCATGGAGACAACAGGAAAATCTGCCTCCGATGTAAACATTTCAGCATTGATATATACCCCAGTAAGCAGCAATTACAAAAGACATCCCTTCTCCAAAGTCTGAATTAACTACTTCAACAGCACCTATATATATATATATATATATAAATACTTTAAAGTCTTTATAACATACTAGGCCTTGAAGATCTTTTGCAATCAACTTCAACATCACTTACTTGTTTGCCACTATGGATATCTGTAATAGAAATGAATCTCAGATAAGCACATTTAATGGATTTCATAGTACCATTACACACCAACATGTGTATATAGGCACAAAATTTCCTTGTTGCCTCCAGAAAAATAAAAAGTGAACAAACTGGGATGTGCAGGGGAACCTGAGCATAATTTACTGATATTGCTGTAAATAAGACAAAAACAAATCAAGTGCTTCAAGTTAATGTCTTGCAAGTACATTATTTGTGGGTGGCTCTAAGCACTTTTAACAACAATCCCACCATGGGAAGGACTCAAATAAGGCAAGACCTTCACAAACCAACAGAAATACCAAGCCTTTATTACAAAGAAAAATGATTCCACAGAAGAGGTTGGCTTGCTTCCATGCATGCTCTCAGTCACATCCACTTGCTGAGCATGGAGAAAGGCTTCTGCTAGATTCATTAATTCCCCAAGACACCATAAAGCTTTGTTCTTGGCTACAGGTGCGTGAGCATTTTGGTTCAACTGAATTGCTTCCTAGAATGTTGTTGCCAGCATTGAATGAGCCAAAATAACAAACCTGACTGGTGGGAAAGCCAAATGCCACAAGGAAAGAAAAGAAAATTGAACGAAAATAAAAATCACACAGTGGGCACAGTTATCACTAAGAGAAGTCAAATGACTTGCTTGACATCCACACTGTAAATAATTTCACTGGCAGGGAAATGAATATGCTTGAGTCTTATCTTCACTTGGGGAGCGTGAAGAATGTTTGCTGCATCCTTCTACTGGTACGTGCAAGCACATGGTCACAAAGCCTAAAAGGCAGCAGAACTAGATTGAATTCATGTTATCTATTGTTGTTTGGATTTTGAACAAAATTGATGGAGTATGAACCAGTTGATGAATCCTGTTTTATCTGGAAATTTTCTGTTGACAGGCCAAAGGGGCGGAGAACCAAATTCCCCAGATCCTTCAGTTTGCCTACAATGAAAAGGGGAGAGAACACATCAAGTGTTAAGCAGAAGGAAAACTCCATTGAATTATGCCCAACTACACAGTCCAGCTCTACTGATTTATCTATTAATTTAAGGTAAATGCTGTGTAAATCTCTGCAATTTGTTGAGTATTTATAGGCTCTCAACATGAATTAGAAACAATCTCCATTGTGATGTGGGTACTGTCAGCTTTGGGGTTGAAAACAAGTGACTGTGCTGGTAAACATGTAAACAGTTTATTCTGAGGAACAACTCCATCCTACATAACAAAACTAACACCATTATTAGAGTACTCCTAAATATGCCATAGTAAGTAAGATCTTGCATCTAAGTGCTGGTTCACAAGCAAGTATCTTTCAGGGATTTGTGGAACTATTTTAAAGCAATATGAGTCTTTGAGAGTCAGATGACTCAAAGTCATCTAATACTAGGTGAGCTGCTTTGTACTGATGGTGGTTTTCTTCCTTAAGTTACACCCTGTTTAATTTAGCTATTAAGTTCATAATTTTATCCTGCATCCTAAAGCCATTTTGGTTATAAAACGATAAAGTTGTTCATAGCATCTCTCTGTTGGGATGAATAGTTGCTATTGTACTTCTAGGCAAACATTTGGTCATGCTTAGCTTTCCGTTGGGGTGAGAAGTGTCTTTGTCTACTGGTGGAAGTATCCTGGCATACTCCAGCATTGCTCGAGTCAGTTGTAAACAGCTCCCAAGCTCTCCAGGTGCTGCAGCTGGCTCAGGAGCCAGGCAGACAAATTTCCCTGTTTCAGGAAACTGTGAAAGGTCTTTTCTAATTGGAGTCAGTAGGATGGCTCTTTTCCGGCTGTACTAGAGCCAATAAACACAGAACAACTGCCTTGGTATTCTTGTTTGTTGCTAGGCCAGCTCTTTGGGAGAAGCTGAAGACCATATGATATATATAATTCTTCATTCTTCATCTCACGGGGATTGAATAATTAAAACAATACAGTCACAGGTCACCTTCCTGCTCTCTCACTTAAATCCACATACAGCAATGCCTTTTGGTGCAGTCACATTTCATAAATTGCTAATGAAGCAGAAGCAAGCCTTTGCCTTTTCCGGGAACTCAAGCCCAAAGCACTGCTCCTGCTGTCTTGGCACACATAAACCCATCATTGTAGGAAAGCACTATTTCCTCCTCCCCCACTCCTTTCATCCCTAAATTAAGATCTGTAGTTAAGTCCAACCTCCCCCTCCCCCCAAAGAGAAGCTCTCTTAAGACAGAGACTGTGCTTGAAGGAAGGAAGAAGGCACGTGGAGCTGTGACTCAGCTGCAAAGAGTTCTCAGCAATCAAACACGCACTTGTCCCTGAGCAGGGTCACATTCTCCTCTGTGAGACTGTTTTCACAGATCTTGATCTTTACATTTTAGAGGGCCTGTGTCTACATTTCACCTGGAACTCCACATGTTAAGTTCCTTCAGCAGAGCAACATTCAGAGGTTAACAAGAAAACCAACTGGTAAAGATCAATTCACAGCTCAGAAGTCTGTGATTCATTACTCACCTAAACTGCAATTTAACATCCTGCTGCAAAAGGCAGATTCACAGAAAGATTTCTCATGATTTACATGAAGATGTAACAGCCAAAAAGTAACTGCCATTCAGTCTTTCTGGCAAAACTTCCAGTAGAGCTGCTAGTGTTAATGTGGTATTTGGAACTTGAAAAGCTGGGTATTATTTGGGTTAAGAATTTTTGTTGGATAAAAGACAAATTTCCTGATGAGGTCTCATCTTTCTCTAACTCGCTGTATTACCAACAACATTTCTTAAGCAATTAAAAGAGCAAGAGCAAATCCTTTTCCCTTCCCTAAATGGTGAGGACTGAACTAAAAGTAATTATATTAGCTCTGGTTTGAACTATTTAAAGTGACCTCCCTGTGTACAGTATTGGGGTTTAGCAGTGTAATTGCAAATACAACATGTACTCTTCAGTATCAAAAAAAAGAAAGAAGAGAGCAATTCTTCAGGCACTAAGACTAGTAAATATCTTTGCTGATCTCAAGTAGCTGGAAATATCTCTTGCTGGCACGAAGGCCCAGGCAATATGCTCCCATAGGCCTTCCCATTAATCACACCGATAACCAAGTACATCTCTCTGTTTTCTAAAATGCACTCCTTTGTAACTTAAGATGAAAGTCCCAATAGGTTTTAATTAGATTTGATGAACTTTGTGTGTGTAAGATGGGTTACACAGACTGCCATATGTTCTATTCCAGTTTTTTATCTCCAGTGTACTTGCCTCTCCTTGTAGCCAAGCAGAAAACTATTGTCAGAGCTCCCAGCCTGCTAAACCTTGCTAAAGCTGTTCCAAACTTCTCCTCTTCTCATATCCTCTCCCCAAAGGAGCTGGTTCTAGTTATCACAATAATTATAGTTTCTCTAAACAAAAACTAGCTTGTTGCACAATAGCTGGAAATCTTCGGCTTTAAAGTCAGAAGAGAAATAACACAGAAAATAGTCAGTGTATGTTCACATCCTGGGCAATCACTAAGGCAGAGGATGCTCACGTTATGAAAGCATAAAGGGAAAGAGCCACATGGATTTAAAAGCTATTTTTTAAGTGTGCTGTAAGTTAACCTTTCTTTAACATTGAAACTCAGCAATGAGCAAACCTTAGTGGCAAGTGGCAGCGTTAACCTGCAAAGACTGAATGGAAAATATGAAAATAATAAGCACAAATGTCAGCTTTGGAAAAGTTAGACCCCTACAGAACAGAACAGAAATGGACTTGGTTTGGTAATAAAATATGTTTTTTCTAGGGACATCGATCTCACTGCACTACCACTTGCAAACAAGTATTCATGGTTAGGTAGTCTGGAAGAAAAATCCCCAAGAATGTGTACCCTGATTTATTTACACACAATCACTTAAGAAGTGGTTTCAGCTTCTGACAAATCTATGTGGTAATGAGCTGCAGCACTGGAAAACAGGAAACACGCTTGGGGAAGGAGGAAGATGCACTTCATTTATTTCAGTCTGTTTGTACACAGCTCATTTTCATGACAGTGTTTGTTAGTTGCGTATAGCAGGGCTTAGTTTCAGTTGAAAGAATAAGAACATAGAAAAGCCACATTACTGGCTGATTCATTGACAAAAATAAGAATTCAGTTGAATATCCAAATTTCAAAGGAGTCAAAGCATGAACTGTGACATTCACTCGAAAGATTTTGCTGGTGATTAGTTTTAGTGTGAGTGCTCCTGGACCAGGCCCAGTCTGGAACTATTAAGATGCATCTGACTTGCTCTACTGGAACCAAAAAATCTTGAGTACAACCCAGACACCTGAGCTAAGCCGCCTGTGAGAAAGCAAGAATGAATCCATGCATACCTGGCACTGTTTAACCAGCAGTCAGATAATCTCCTAACAGACTACCACAAGCATTTGTCTATTCTGATACAGTACTCAGTTGGTAAATAGCATTAATGAAGTTCTTGAAAAAGAAAAGCTGAAATAGCTTAAAACATATACATTGTGCAACAAAAATAATCCAAAGAAATCTCTTAACTATCACACTGTATCAAGTTTGTTTTTCCTTACAGAACTCCCATCTGATCTCCCTTCAATAGTAAGTGTTTTTCTTTGTCCTCAGACAAAACAGCAGCATTTTGTAAACCTTGGGAGGTATTTCCTTCCCAGGCCTTCATTGCCAGACCCATCACTGCTCTCTCTTACCAACAAGATACAGAGAGCTTTTTAATACTCAAAAGATTAGTCTGGTTGCTGCCTCTATTCCTAACTTAATTTTGAGTGTTCTAATAAGTGAATGTATTATAGAAAAACAACTTCTCAATTCGTGTTAAGAGATCACAAGCAGTGCTAAGACTAAAATATCACCCAATTGACACCAGATAATTTTAATAATACTCGTGACAACTTATTTGAACCTGTCACATACAGAGGCTGTGGATGAACACAGGGTCATACACTGTCTACCCCACTCTTGGCCTGGTTTTCCTGTCTTTTACACCATTAAACATCAGTGTATCTCCTTGCATGTATATGACATGATTGAGAAGGAATTCCTTTCTAGAGAATCCCAATATAAACAGTCTGAACTGGTTCCCAAAAAGACCAGTTCAGTTCCGAAATCCTAACTGCCACTTGATTAACACTTAAACAGATTACATCCAGTCTGAAATCTAGGCAAGGATTAGCAGTATAGAATGAGGTTTGTAAAGACACTTTATAAAGCTGGATTTATTGTTTCAGTGAGGCCCTTTAGACATCTGTAACAATGGTACAAAGGGAGAGTTCAAAAAAGATCAGGAATTGTTTTCAGATTACTTTGTGTTGAAACTCATCCCGTATCCTACAAATAGTCATGATCCTTCTGGACACTTTCTGCATTTGTCATTTATCTTTAGCACTATCACACTTAACCTTCTTTATTTATGGCTTGTTATAAGTACAATGGTGGAAACAGAATCTGATGATGTAAAGCTCCAGAAAGCCTCAGTGCAACTTTACTAGGTCAAAACAGGTACAAAGCAAGAGCAAATCAGACTCCTGCACAGCAAGAAAAAATATCAGCATAAGAACTTGAAACAGTCTTCAAAAATACCTGAAGGATTAGTGTTACAGTATGTAAGACAGACTGAGTTCATTTAACCTGATTCTCTGCAGAACAGCAAAACAGTCTTCCCCTTTCCCATCCCAAACCCTCAAAGCCTACTCAGAATAGCATTTCATCTACTACTTGTGACACCTAGAACGAGCAAACAGGTAACTATGGCAAGCGATGTATGAAATGGGTTAGGTACACTTAGTTTATCTTATATTGTCTTTTGTCCTTGCTCTTTTGTGTGGATTTTCTAAACAATACAAATCAAAATATTCTATCAAAATAAAAACTTGTTTTAAAAGCACCAGGTTGTCAGATTGGCTTATAGAGTGTCTGAACTCGTGAGAATCAACAAACCCTGTTAAGTAGGAGACAGCAGACAATGTCAACAGTAGTCTTCTTTGGGGCAGGACATTTTCCCCCAGAACCGTTAGTCTGTGATTCAAGGAAGTGCTTTAACCTTTGTATTACACGTGAAAACCAGGCTTGCTTGGGCAACCTTATTTAAGTAGTTATCCATTTGAAATACATCAGTCCAGTTCAGATATTACATATACAAACACCACAGAACGTGATGGTGGAGGCAAGTAGGTTCAAATGAGTTGTATTGATTAAGTTATCTTTCCCTCAAACAGGTACAGTCAACAGTGTCATTTGGTATAGAGTTGTAAAAAGTCAAGAGACAGTGAGTTAGGAAATCTAACTGCACTCCTAGTAAAGCCAGATGCCTGTTTGTAACGCTGGGTGGGTCTAATTCAGCCTCCAAATAAAGAGAACCAAAATACTATATAAATCAAAGTAAACATGAAGACTTGGAGGTCTATAGGCTGCAAGTGCTGTTAGAAGAACCAAATTTATTTCTTCAGACAAAAGATCAAACACATTCAGTTATTACACCTGGTCAACTCCTTCTACGCAAAGGTTTAGGAGATCCCTTTCGCGGGAGTGTTTTACTTGCAGAGAGAAGGGGCAGAGCAGTTGGTCTGTTTCAAACCACTTTCCCTTATTTTAACATGCGTTAATATTGATTTGTTTTAGAAGGTCCTGAGTGTTCTTTCTTTAACTATTAGCCTTTTCGGAAAGGGCAAATTATTTGGCTGGAACATACTGTAGGTGAAACCAAGCAATAGAGAACTACGAAGAAATCAGGAGTTTCGTCTAACACTGAACAAGTATTTCCTTAAAGCTTTACCTTCTCTAAATTTTCTACAAGACATTCTACTCGTGCATTTGTGTTTTTCTAGTAGACTATAAAGATTATTCTGTAGGTTATGTGTACACACTACTTACCTAGCATTTCTTTCTTTAATTTTTCATTCCGCTCTTCAATTTGTCTAGGTAATCGCTGTGGACAGAGATAAAAATTGGAATCAGACCCATGCTTTCAGTAATTCTGTAGGTTAAGCTAACGGAATTTTTCATGCACATACCCAGGATACACTGTTTGTGGCTTAAAACAAATCCTTATGTCAAACCACCCTTTCATCTTATTTTGGAAACCTGCAATTCATCCTATGACATCAGTTCACATAAACAGTAAGTTGTAACTTGTAAGTGCAGGTTTCAAATAGGCATGCATTTTTACTGCTGAAAACCAGACCTGATCTGCTTGCTTGGAATTTTAACTGAAAAGCTTATGGAATTCAAGAGACTTACAATTAAAGTATATTTTAGCCCTATTTCCTCAGCTGTATGCATTATATTTGGTAAAGAGACTATGCAGGCACAGCATTTGAGGAAAACATCCATAACGTCCATTCTCAGTGGCATAACACCTGAGGGAAATCTGCACTGTGAAGACATGAAGGTTTTCTAAATACAAATACTTTATCAGATCACTGAAGTAACTTGCTGCAAACTTCGGGACATAGTTCAATGAGTAGATTTTATGCAAGATATAGCATAGCTCTAAGGAGGAGAGGGTATTATATAAATGAGAGCCTTGATCTGGCAGTTCATCATGGGGAGGTAACTCCAACACCCTGTCCTGAGCAAGGTACTAGTCCAAGTAACAGCTCATTAACGTGCTTTTCCCTTCTCAAAACTGGCACCAGTGTTAAAATCTGTTGTACCATCACAAGCAAACTTAGCACATGTTTCCAATGACCATTACATAACCACATGGTCTACGCATTCCTAACAGTTTGGTTCCAAAAGGTTCCTTCCCATTTATGCCTAGAACAGCTGTGACTCATCTTCCAGCCTTACGCAGTACTGGTGCTCTGCTATATGATTGTAATGATCGTTTTTAATTAGAACTTTGTAGTCACATAACTAAATTTACCACTGTATAATTAGATTTTGCATTTTCTATACATCCGTTAAATACAACATTAAACCAAAATATATTACAAATGACAGTCACTTTTTTACACATCCTTTCTCATATTTTTCCGCAGTACTACTTCAAGCTTTTACACTATGCTTATTCCTGTGTAATTCTGGCAGCTCAGCATGCACTTACATGCATAACTATGCAGTCTCTTCTTGTGGAGGTCATCACAAATAAAACAAATGTATTGTAATGGTGCTACCAGTAAACTAATTACTATTGCAGACTATGGCAATTCACTCCAGATACACTTCCCTTGTGATAACTGGCTTCTCAACATTGTTAAAGAATTACTCTCCCAAGCTTGTGTCTTCTTGTCATTTACAGCTCCAGTCACCATGGATAGATCTATCACTCTGATACCATTGCCACAATGAAATGAGTTGTTCACCTCAAGAAAAAGCCCATGGACAAGGCTGCCTGGCTATTCCTTTTCAATACAGGACACACTGGTGAACGCAGGCAAATACAGTTCATTTTCTATAGTGGTGGGGAAGAGAGGTGGTATACCCCAGAAAAAAAATCACAACAGAAAAACGAGTGTTAAGGAATAAAACGCAGCTATACATGGATGGCTAAGCTTGAAACCAGCCAGGCCCAGCACCACCACCACTGAGCCAGATCTAATTAGCCCAGTCAGACCTCATCTGAATCCTGCTGACCCAGAGGGCCTTATTAAGTTGGGTGCAGATCTGGACCTAAGATGCCTGCATGAAAACATGTGAATATCCCCAGGCTCTAAATTCAGTTTGCACTGTGGCTGTGCAATTTGTTGTATCTTGCATGAGTCTGGCATACATAGCATGTCTCTCTCACATTTGGACATAAGGCTTTGGCAGGAAATGAAGATACATATCCTTGATCTGAAATACATACTCCATGTTTTGTTTGTTTCAATACTTGTATTAGAAAAACTCAGCATTTCTCACTCCAGAAATGTATTTGCAGGGTTAGTTATCTACAGGAAGATGTCTGCAAGTACCATAGACACCAGATAAATAGCTGTCCTTATCTCAAAGTGCAGCTTCTTTTGGCAAATAAGTTTATCTTGCCTGCCAATCCCTTAAAAACTGTGCTGAAGCTAAAATTCACACAACACTGTTACCCACCTGCTAAAAACAAAACCCAAAGATTGATCCTGTATAATTAAACACTTTCTGGGAAAGCATCAGTAGGGATTATTTATCCACAAAACACTACAATTTCAAACTGTTTAATTTAGCATTGAAGATGTCAAAAGTAACTGAAGTGAGACCAGGATTTAAATCAAAATACTAGCACTGTACTCCTGCAGTATAAACAGTACTGAAATTTTAAAGAAGTTACCAAATCAGGAATAAAAGCAAAGAACTACTCTGCATTTAGTATTTTTAAACTGCCGTTTAGCAAGATCATGACATTCCCTAAAGCAGCATGTGAAATATTTTCTATATATTCTCTACAGGAAGGAGAGAGAGTTGCTCTAACACTGAAAGAAGCTAATTTGCAGATTCTCTTGATGCACCATTTCCATTACCAGTGAGGGGGAAAAAACACTGCAGAGAAACGCTGCAGAGAGCAATGCACTTTACCTTACAATAAAGCAAAGCTCCTTAGTCTCCTACACATTAGATACGTTAGCCACGTATGGGAGTCAACATTAGAGCTGGAACTGTTTTTTTGTATTATGAAATTTAGAGATTTACTATGAATATTCTAACAATTGTAGAACTAGCTGTCTGTATTTCCTTAACAATTTTTTAAGAGGGGCATTTTAAGTTTCAGTCTCAGAAGATTGCTTCTACCCTGCAACTTGACAAAGAACAGGACCAACCCAGGGGCAGAATCCCACTGCAGTGTAAATTAAGGGCATTTTGTACAAAGTATTCTGCACCACATGTGAGCCTAAAGCCTCTGCCTAGTAAAATGAGGTCAAGAAGCAGAAGGTAGATGTAAGAGTCAACCTCTGTACTTCCCAGCTATAAAAATTAAGAATATATTACAGATTGTTCTAAAGCATTCCTGAAAGATGGCCAGGAAGAAGAACAGCACTGTCAAGTGTTAATCTGTGGAGTTCATAAAAATGTGTATGATGTTCACAGCTGTTCTTTGTATGATGAGCTGCTAAAACACATTCCTTATATGCTAGTACTATTCTACCAAGTAACTGGCTAGATTACTCTAGGTCTCACTCTGGAGCTGATCTCATGCTAAAAGGACTACAAGCTACAGAAAGTAAACCCCATCCTTTCCTTTAGAAAAGTCAGCAGACTCATTGGCTGAATTCCTGGACCAAATAAACCGCACTCTCAGCTAGGAGACTGTAAAAAAGGCCAACACAAATACTCTTTTCTAGACTGTGATGGACCCATCACAGTCACTACCCATGCAGTAATGATGTTTGACAAGCTTGTCATTTAATAAGCCACTGCCAAGAGCTAGGTGATAAAGTGCTCTCCTGCTCTCAACTAGCTGCATGCAACAAGCATCAGGGGTTGTTTCACAGTACAGTAAACCGACCTTGTCAATGGGTGCTGCCAAAAGGGATGGCCCCAATTCCTGTACTGCCTTGACCACATCTTTCCTTCTCACTAGTATTTGTGGCAGGACTTATCTGACTGCAAAAAGCCAACTATGTAAGTATTTGCTTTGGGGCTTTTTGGTTGTTAGGTTATTTTGCTTGCTTGTTGTTGCTATTTTTCTCTTTAGCAGAGTTAGTTTTCTGACAGACTCACGTATAGAGCCAGCCATCCCCTAGGGCCAGACATGAGCTAGTAGCAGTGTTAGCACAAGGAAAGCAATGGGACAGCTTTGTAAGCAGCAGTTAGTACATCAGTTTAGCTGTTCTGTGAAACCCTTACCATTAACAGGAGTTACACAGTTAAGCAGAATATTTTTCTGCCATCAGGGCAACTGATCCGGTCCCAAAGGAAGTAATTTCAGGCAAGGCTTCTTGCCTAATACGCTATAAAAGCGGTTTCTAATCTGTCACTTCCAACACCATAGTATGGGGAAAGGAGAGGGGAGGGAGGAATCACTACTAATGATTTATTTTCCCAAATGAAGAATTAAAGCAAACCTAAGTGTTTTAAAAATACTTCTGCATCAACATATTCAAAGTGGTTTTAGAGATAAGCTGGCAGGTGAAGCAAATGATTTCACTGATGTGAAGCTGAACTAAAACAATGACACCATTTGAAAATTTAACATGGTACAAAGTCAGGCATTGGCATAAGGATTTTGGTGTCCAAATAAGAATTACATTTCAAAATAGCATCCATTTACCATAAAATGTAAGTGAAGAATAGATTGGATGTTGTTTTCCCTGCAGAAAATGGTCAGCTCTTTCCAGGCTCCCTGGTGCCAGCAAACCATTCACCTACCATGACCTGAAGCTCCCACTTTGGTAAAAAGTGACCACCACTGTACTTCTCATAGTGGCTACCTTTCATTAGCATTAGTGTTCCTTCAAAACCACAGGCTGTCTAGCTACATCTCTAGCACATTTGTGCTTTCAATAGAGCCTTCATAACCTCTTTTCAAAAATCAGAACAGCAAGCAGCCTGTCATAGGAGCCTTCTGCACAAAATAAATTTCCTTTCTTGCTACCTTTGTGAAAAGACCCTCTGAACTTGTCAAATCCACATCTATTTTCCACACTGAGCATTAATTTCCTAAGTATTGCTAGAAAAATCGCTTCCTGCTGGTTCCACAAAGAGTTACTTGAAACCTCAGATCAGCAGGCTGTGGCAGTGGCTTTAAATCCCCACTGACTAGGGATTATCTACATGTTAGATTGGGGTTTCAGGAAGTGCATGGGGGTTACCTTGCAAAGGAAGCTTTTAAAGCATTTCCTTACACTTGTAGAGATATGGCAAAGATTCTGCAATAAAAGTTTAATCCTGAAGTATTTGTAATTTGATTGAAAGTGGTGAAAATGGACACTGGAACACAGTACTAAGCTGCAGATCTTTTTAATTCTTTTTTGAAGAATGAATAAAGTAACTGAATTCAGGAGAGACTGCTGTTAGCAACCATAAAGGGCCTTGCTCTTCAAGTGAAAGGCTAAGTTTCTGAAGACTAATAGTAGACTTCAGTCACTATTAGTAAAATAACTCTAAGTGGCCAATACACACACAAGACATAGCAAAGAACAAGAACAGAAAACGGCTAAATGAAGAAACAAAAATATCAACACTTTAAGGTAGATACAAACATAGATACAGGCTGACAGAATCCTGTTCGTTGCCAAAATTACATAATCAAGTCATAAAAAAAGAAAGTCATTATTTTATAATTCAGGTATTCAACTGCAAATTTACCAATCAGGGAAATAATTCTATCGAAAACAAGACTCCAAACAATTAACAGCCAGCAAGAAGTATCTGATCTCCAAACTGCAGATCCATATTGAAGTGATGGCTACTAAAATGCACGAGTGGTTTGGGCAACCTTTTCTAGAACATGCAAAAATACAATTAACAGCCTCAGTCAGAAAACTAGAATGGGGTGTGTGTGTGCACGGGAAAAGAAGACAAGACCTCGGCTTAAAATGAAGCCAAAGTATACTAAAAAGGCTTACCATGCATGCTTCTCTGGCTTGATGAACTGATGGGTCTTTTTCTAGGACTGCCTTATAATCTTCCAGAGCTTCATCTAGTTTTTCTGTTTTTTCATATAGTTCTGCTCTCCTCAGCAAAGCTCTAATATAGTTAGGATCCAATTCCACTGCTAGAAAACAAAAACAAAGCATAGTATTTTATTTGAAACATTTCTACATCCTTCAAATGAATTCTTAAGTGTGTATTACATTCTTAATAGTCATCTTTATAATGTAGCTTAGAATCAACGACAGTCTGTTTGAAAGCTAAGTCATATTTCAGAAAGGCATACATCTGCCTGTGAAAGTCTAATGCAAATGATCATGTTTCATTTAAAGTCTACAGCCTATCACGGATAGAAGTGATTTATAGTGCACAAACATTTAATTTTGCAATACTATATTTTTGTTGATACTTCAGAAATTTTAAGGACCTGTAAGATATCTTTCAGCTTTTGTATATTTAATACGTTTATATTGTTAGATTACCACTAGAGTTAAATATACCTATGATGAGCAGGGAAAATAAGCATTTCTCTGCTTCTCTCAGTTCAAGTGGAGACAAACTCCAGGAGAACTTCTGGTGTTCTTCTGAATTTAATATCAAGCAGTCAAAACTGGGTTGGGAATCCACAGTTATATTAGCTCTACAAGTTAGCAGAGGGGCATACTGTCTGAATTTAAGCTTTTCCTCTCCTTATTCCCTTGGCAGCCCTGTTTACAGATGCAGTTAAGACTGAATGCTAAACTTAACAGTAACCTGCAAATGGTAATTTCTCAAAAATTTCCTAATCCATTTTTCATCACCGAAAGAGGCAATATGAGAGACTGCCCATTTGATAATTACTAACTGTTCTTGGGACAATTAAATCTAGGATTATTTAGCTAAGTATTCTAGCTCAGTCCTTCTGGAAGGACAAAGACAATGCTACAGTCAGCAAGTTGCAGGTTAGTGTGAATTGCTCTGCTGTGCTCCAAGTGTTGCATTGCAGTTTGTAAGCAAAGTCCCTGGGGAATGTCAGGCGCTGGTAGGTCAAGTCTCACTGCTGCAAAGCAGAGCGAGTGCCTTTCAGCCACTACAAAATCAGAAGTGTTTTTCAAAATGCACCACCACCAAAACAAGGAAACCCCCAAAATGCAGAGGCCAGCTAGAATTTGTTACCTTCAACAGTACTTTGAGCATGTACAAACTCCTGTTTACTGTACAAGCAGCACTGGCACACAGCCATTGGATCAGTTTTCTGATTGGGGATTTGGAATATTTTCCCCAGCTGTCATAGGGAGTTTAACAAATACTTGAGCATGGATGAGTGGGTGGCAGCAATAAAACAATGCACAGCTGAAATGATTTCGCCACAAGTTGCAGGGAGAAAACTATGCAGAACAAGAACAGGAGAGCATAAGCCCTTGTGATAAAGCAAAAACCATGCATAAAAGGGACTTGATGATACTTTTAATTCTGTTAAGTCCTCATGGTTCTTTGGAATCTGGGATTAAACCAAGATTTGGAGGGGGAATGGCAGGTGGATGCAGGTTTAATTATTTCAGACAGGAAAAGATACACATTTTAAAAAATAAATACTATAAATAAGTCTAGATTCAGGTGTCTCCCATCAGAGCTTTTCTTTAAATTCTTTAAAGACCTGTATGCCTGAATTTACAGTGCTGCAGTAAGGCACTAAATGGCGTAATTTATGCATGAAAGATCTGGCACAAAAGCAGCATACAGGAAAAAAATCATACCTTTGCTGCAGTCACTTAGGGCAGCTTCTGTCTTGTCCTAGAACACAAAATAGTTTTGCTATATTAAAGACCTATTTGGAAATTATTGCAAAACAGATTATGTACAATTGCAAGCAAAAAACTTTGGCATTCCAAGGAATTGGGATGTTCATGTAATCAAGGCTTTTCATACCGTTGCTTCTGATGCAAAGCTCTTTACCAGCGATTAGCTTCCTCTCTGTGAAGGCTGCCAGTGTTCAAATTGCAGGGCTGCCCCACTAATCTGCCTGCACTGCACAGCC